CCCTGTTTTCTAATGTCAGTTGTGCCCCGAAGGCGACTTTCTGCCTCACACAGTTCACAGCAGAGTGACGGACATCTTTGTGCCAAGTTAACAAAAGAAGGACCTGCAACAAAAGAAAGACCTTGAGGCAGCGTTTCTCCAGCTCTTTACAGCAGTTAAAGATGGATGGTGGAGTGACAGCACTTTTCTTTTTCCACTGCAGCTTTATCTCCCCCTGCACACTTTCCTCTGCATATCAGAAGTGCCCCAAACATCCAAAGATATCAAGAGAAGTAAAGTCAACGATTTTTTTTTTTTTTATAAAAAAGAGAGAATCGTCAAAAAATGTAAACAGTTTTCTTGATTGCATGTGTGAAACAATGCTGTACTGTATCCACAGCGTACAGGAACTGCGAGTGGGCGTTAAGAAGACAAAAGTTGGCAATGACTTTTCCTCCGATGTTGGTGGATGAAAACACAGAGGATTATTCCACTTCAGCATGAAGCGCATTGTGCGTTTTCTCTGAGCAAGAAAGGAGAAGAATGAAAAGGATTGAGGGCGTGCAAAAAAGCTGCCCATTACAGCACAAGTCTGCAGTTTTTAATCTGACATACTCCACTTAATCTTCCATACTGAGCTGCACTCTTTGTGATTTAAATTAAACAGGCTTGTAGAAAGGAAACAATCAGTTTGAAGCCCTGGAATAAAGACCTGAATAAAGATAAAGCATCACAAAGATGACCTGTTATTCTAAAAGGGCGGCTTTTTCCCCCAGTCGTCCAAAATTCCCAAATTAAAGTCCAGTTCACCTTCTCGTCTTACCTAACAGACATGGCTAGGACGGTCACTGGATGCTATGAGTATGTCTGTATGTAGTTTCATATTTTCTTTATCTAGTTCCAAAACCACTCATCAATTCTCTTCAAACTATCTGTGTGTGCGGCTGGGAGCCCGAGTAAGTGGAGTGCCGAGTTTGAAGTCATTTGAATGAGTGATTTTCATATTTTGGATAAAATTTGTTCTCCACTCTGTGTGTAGGGGGAGGGGCGCATACACACAGGATACATGAACCTTTTCCTTTCACTCTGAACCCTACATTTGTTTCAGTAGCCTTAGTAATGGTACTATTACAATGCCCATATACTATATACACACAATACTTATACTGCAGTATTTCTTTGCACTTTTACCTTACTTTTGGATGGAAATATCAGACTTTATTTATTTATTTATTGTAAAGGTTTAGCTCATCTTCATGTTTCAGCATTAAAGAAATATACATTCTTATGAACTTAAGTTACGTTAAGTTCTTTAAGTACATTTTGAAACTAAACATTATGGTAGTATTATAACTTTTACTTATACTCTTTGACTCATATCATAAAATATTTTTTTTGTGTTTCTGAAACTAATCATGTACCTAATCCTTTAGGCTACAGTCTTGTGCTGATTAATAATATTTGCAACTATTTTTTGTAAAAGATCTCAATAGTAGTTCACAATCTGCAACTCCAATTCATGTTTAGCTCTGCATGTACATTTTTTTCAGGACACTCTCCAAAGCTGAAAGTTTGCGTGACCCGGCCGAGAGAAAGAACAGCTGGATGGCAGCCTGAGGTTTCAGTGGATTTGATGTGACAGACATGAAGAACCAGCACCAGTATGGACGAAGTCATCTGGAGAGACTGGGTGAGTCCACTTCATATACTATACAAAACCTATATCTTCACCTAAATATAATGTATAGTTTACCTACCAGAAAGCTAAAATTAAGTGTGCCGACAAACCTGAGAGACTCCAGCACTGGTGACTGAGACGTCAACATGAATCACTGCAGGAATTAATCTGATGCCTTCATTTAGGCTCCTGTTCTTATGAAGAGATGTGGAGCACACTGTTCTCTACATCGCTCTCTTTCTGAGCTTCAGTGATCAAGTGATCTGCTTATAACAGAGGAAAATCTACTATGATTCATTAAAAAGCTAATTTAGGTGAACTGAGGGAAGTAGGCTTGCAAGTTTACAACATTAAACCGAATATAGCTTCACAGAGTTAATGCATGAGGTTTAAATGTTTCTAAACGATGTACTGATAGTTTTGGCAGTGTAAAAGACGCTGTTATTCTGTTCGTTTCTCGTGTCTTCCAGTCTGCGTGGCTCTGTCCACTCTGGTGTTGGTTCTGCTGGGACTTCTGGGTTCCGTCACAGGCTGTCCTGGTGTCTGCACCTGCTATGGCAATACGACTGACTGCACTGCTGTTGGACTCCTCTCTCTGACGTCTATCCTTGGGCTGCTCGCCCAGGACTCTCTGGCACTCCACCTACCCCAGAACAATCTCACCTTCCTGGGCAAAGCTGAGCTGTCCAACCTCAGCAGCCTGGAGGTACTGGATCTTTCCCAGAACCACTTTTCAACCGTGCAGCCAGGAGCTTTCCTAGGCCTGAACAGCCTGCGCCGCTTAAACCTGTCCACCAACTACCTCAGTAAACTCAATAGCAGCGCAGCGACAGTCGAGGCCTTCAATGGAAGTCAGGGGAGTATTGGATTGAGCAAGGAGGTTTTCAAGGGGCTATGGCAGCTGCAGGAACTCGATCTGTCCTCCAACGGCCTCCTGTGGCTGCCCAAGGGCCTGCTGGATGGGCTTCAGAGACTCACCTGGCTGTCTCTGGCCAGCAACCGGCTTGTCACCCTGGACAGAGTCACATTTGAACCCCTGGTGGGGCTACAGCACCTCCTGCTGGTAGGAAACCCTTGGAAATGCGATTGCAAGCTGAGAGACTTCAAGCACTGGATGGAGTGGTTGATTTACAGGGGTGAGCAGGGCTGTTAGCAGGCCTCTCCATATCTCAAATACTTTAAGACTTTACCGGAGCGAGTCTGGGGTGTATAATCTAAGCAATTAATCTCCACTCTGCAGGATGGATGTATGCTGAGCAAAGACATCTAAGAGTACAATGACCTCTATATCTTTCAATCCTTCCCTGTCTCTCCTGGTTCCCTTCTTTCTCCCTTCCTCCTTCTTTCCCCTTGTTTTTGTGTCCCCTCTCCATCTGTTTTATAGATGGGCAGGTAGATGTGATGCAGTGCAGCCTCCCGGAGGATTTGAAGGGCAGGGACATCCGCAGCGTGCCAGCAGAGATGTTCAGCTACTGCCTCCAGACTTCAACCAAGGAAGGCGCCACCCGGCCTCCTTGCCCGCCCGGCCGGGTCGGAGGTGCCGATGATTGCATCCGTCAGCGCTACAGACCCGCGAGCGTCCGCCGGGCACAGGGCACGCAGGTAGTTGCGGCCGTTGTGTGCGGCACAGTGTGCGTCATGATGGTGGTGGCAGCGACTTACGGGTGCGTCTACGCCTCGCTGGTAGCCCGCTACCAGAAAGAGATGAAGAGCCGCGGGCAGCCCCTGATGGCTGAGTCTGGAGCTGACACCGACCTGGAAGACGGGCAGACGTCATCCCCGACCTCACTGGAGGAAACGCCGCCCAAAGAGGCCTGCGGCTTCGTGCACAGTTATCGAATCAGCAGTTTCTAACACACTGATTTCTGCCTCTGTACTTCAGCTCTCATCACTGATGAGACGAGGTCTGCAGAGAGAAACCCTGCAGCTCACTGGGCGAAACTCTCCGGGTGGGGACTGATTGTGCAGCTTAATGGAGCGGACTAAATCCAGTGAAGCTGTGATTCTGCAGTACTTCTTTTAATGTATGGATGCTCTGTGAATTGTTATTCCCTGCGCTGCATCCCTCAGCCAGCTTTGAAACTTCTCTCAAGCTGCTGTTTGGCACTTCTGCACCTTGACTTTCCCTTCATGTGTGTTTCTTCTTTAGAAATATGAATCTACATTTAGTTCCCGTCTTTGGATCTAAGCCCAAGAAGCACAAAGTCAAAAAGTACAAACGTCTGTGAATGTGTGACATTTCTCTTGATGTGAGCTGCAAAAAATTACTTTTCTCTTAATCAGCTGTGCGTGTTTTACATTCCCCATTCTGCAGAGTAATTCTTTGTACCTGTGTTAGGTGGATGCCCCCGCTGAATCTCCTCAGAACAACAAACACTTTGAACCACATCAGAGTTCTGCTGCTGTCAGGTAAACGCTGCTTTAAGCTTCATCACAGGTTAACTGCATTCAAACAATACTAGAGCTGTACTGCCACCTAGAGGGCAAGCTTAGAGCTGCAACAGCTTCTAATCCAGCACAACGAAACAGCGATGACTATTATCTCCAACATTGTGAAGTAAAGAAAGAGCGTGAGGAGATCAGCTCACATGTGATAAGCACATGAAATAAATTGAAGTGTAATTGAACTCAAGGACTGTTAATCATGCTGAAGGTAATAAACTCTTTATTTATCTAAACTGGGTATTTTTTCTTTTTAAAGAAGTGTTTTTGGTCCATTTCACAACCTCTAAATCGCTGTTCTTAAATGTGAGTGAGAGGACTACTTCCTTACAGAGTTCTGAGAGTCGTGTTCTCCTTTGCTTTCGACCGGGGAGGAGAAGTTACCTTGAACTTCATTTCCACTGCATGTTACAGTTTAATTAGACGATAGCCGCTGCTGTTGCAGGCAGCGTCACCACATGCTTCATGTCACGTGGTGTAAAAATCCCACACAAAGCGATTTGAGTGAGGATTCTTGCTGACCACTGTATGACCTTCAATGTCTTCATCATTATCTTTTACTCTTGCCCGACTCAAGAAGAACAACTGAAAATGGTCAGCATATGGCCACTGCTGTTCCTCAAAGTGCCACTCGCAGCTGGCTTCTAAAGTGACTCCGCCCACATAGACTCCCATGTTAAAATGTCTTATTTTCCAACAGAAATAAACATGTTTGGTCTCCACAGCTAACTCCAGCTCCCTGTTAGACGCTGATCTGCTTTGGCTGTCATGGATTAATAAAGGAAACAGTAAGCAACTAAAGCAAGAGGAAAACGCGATAATGACAGTGCATGCTGTGTTTTTGTGATGAAGATGAAGAAGGTGAACATCATAGCTCTTCCACCACTTGTTTGAAACTCACCTCCAGCCATGGCCGTCTTTCCCTCGGTTGACACGGTCACCGATGTCGTCGCTATGATGTACTTCACTCCTGAGGGGCAAAACATTTCGCCCAACATTAACTACAGATCACCTTATCAGTAATTCAATGATAACGAGTTACTTTTTGTTCTGCAGACGTGTTCAGGGGTTCGTCACAAACAAACCTTTGTCATTCACTGGGTAGTAGTAGAATTTTCCAGGAGTGTTTTCTACAGCCAGGCGGTACCACAGCGGGAAGTGATCGATGGTGAACAGATTATCTTTATCAGCTGGAGTCAGGAACTTCCTGCAAAGTGAGCAATCATCCTCAGATAACATTTTACTTTGAAATTCACTCCTAGGCTCATTGACTGAACTGGTCAGTGTGCAACTGGAAGCTCTAATTTTACTATTTATTTCTAATCATCTTCTGTTTCAAACACAAACCTGTTCTTCGTGCTACTGATGAACATTTTTTTACTTCACTCACTTCAAAGAACTCACAAAGGTTACACACTCTGATAGTCCACAGCAGGAAGCAGCTATAACAACAATTCTTAAACCAGCTGGAGTGTATCAGCTGGGATCGTGCTCTGAAGTGTGACATTATTATTTTTAAAGAAAGAAGGAGGGAGGGAGAAGATATGGTTCCAGCAGTTAGTGTTATAACATAATTTTCTTTATGCTAATAGTACAGATGAATTGTCTAGCTAATAATGAGCACAAACAGTGTTGAAAAGCTGCAGCTAGGAGAGCAACACAAAAGGTGCTGTTCTGAAAGCAGAAAGTATTTCGCCACATAAACCTGAACTCTTTGCAGAAGCACGTAAGATATATTTGCTGTCAGGTCCAGACCACCTGTTGGAGTTACACTGTAACTGTGTCACGTGAGTAAATGTGCACATTGCCAGTCATTTTTTTTATTATTTATACCATGTAAAAGGTAAATGGACTGGTTTTTATATTGGATTTTTCTTCTCTATATGAGCACTCAAAGATTTACACAACTTGCCTCATTCATCCATTGCACAAGCACTAGAGCAGACAGGAATCGAACCACCAACCTTATGACCTGCTAGGACCTGTTAGGTTTTAATCAGGTGACTGAATGCTCCCTTAGTTACACTACAACAGGTCTGGGCTTCTAGATTTTTCTTCTTCAGTCCCCTTTTCCACTTACACCTCTCTGTATTTAATCATTAGTTGTTATTAATCTCTGTCTCTCTTCCACAGCATGTCTTTTGTCCCGTCTTTCTCCCCTCACCCCTAACCGGTCACAGCAGATGGCCCCGCCCCTCCCTGAGCCTGGTTTTGCTGCAGGTTTCTTCCTGTTAAAAGGGAGTTTTTCCTTCCCACTGTGGCCAAAGCACTTGTTCATAGGGGTCATATGACTGTTTGGGTTTTCTCTGCATTATTGTAGGGTCTCCCTTACCATATAAAGCACCTTGAGGAAACTGTTGTTGTGATTTGGTGCTGTGTAAATAAAATTGAATTGAATGGAATTTAATTATAATGGCTTGAGTTAAACAGATTCTACATCTTATATGCATTTGGTCTCAACCTAAACTACACAGTGAGATATTTCTGTCTTTTCAGCTTAATTTACTTACATTCACATAAACAGTGACACTTATCTGCAGAGTCTGCATAAATGATTAGCATGTTGAACGCATAAAATCTGCCCATAACATGGGAATACCTACAGCCCCACATCTACACCTTTCGAAGTAACACCAAATGAAAAAATCTAAACAACACAAGTAATTTTTCAGTTGGCGCTCTTACTTAAATATTCTATGATTTTGTGAGGCATGTCAGATTTCTAATTTTGCCTCAGGATATCAGTGGATCTCATCTCATCTGCTGTTTTTATGTACCTGCCATTCACCACTCTGGTTTGTCCCCACAAATGAGAAAATCCTGTATAACCAACCATTTGCTTCAGCTTCACAATCCACTGTGATTCAAAAATATCTTTATCGAAAGGATCATTTATTCCTACTGCCATTCGATGATCTACACCAGAAGCCAATCATCCTACATCTCTCTTTATCAGCCCACTTCTCCATATACAGCAAATAAACAGCAGCATTTGTATTCAATTTAAGTAGGTCCCTTTAGAAATAAAGCATGAAAAGATTCAATACATGACATTTCTTCATGGCCTCACACCTCTAGTAAAACCACACGGTGAAACAGATAACAGATAATCCCAAATCTCTAGCTTCAGTTCACACACTATGAAGGGCTTTCCTGGCATGCCCCACTTGTATCTCAAATCTGGTGGTAAATAATGTTTGGTGTTCTTCTACACATCACATAGGTCAGCTGTTCCACACAGATTTCAGGTTTATCCGGGAGAATAGTTTGTAGTAACGCAGCTCACCTCTAGATAAATCCAGTGCTCCACCTGAGGGGCAGTCCTCAGGACCTCACACAGCAGTTTTTATTTAACGAGTTCATCCTCACAGAAAACCAAACTGATTCTTCTTCAGCTTCCTCTCATGTATCTGAACTGCTGCACTGTTTTCAGAGAGAAGCACGAGTCAAACCTACACTGGAATATTTTTGTTATAATCACTCCCTCAACAATCTGAGTCCCTCAATAATCTGAGTCCCTCACTGCGTTGTGCTAATTATTGAAATGAACGACTGCATCTTCGTATATGAATGAGCATGCATCAGGCTTCCGTTTGTCGTGGGCTATCAGTTCCAAAACTGCCCCTGAGCCTCTTTGGTAAACCTAACAGCAGCTTTTTGACACCAGGAGAAGGTTTGATGACGTAGATGTTAATAATCTGGTCCACTCAATTTATCTTTATTGACTTTCTTGCATGAAATATTCTTAATGTCACAACTGAATTTTAATAGATTTAAATAATTAATAGCAAATATTGGAAATGTGGAGACGTTGGCTGTTTCTCAAAAGGCACCGATGCAGCACACCTGCAGAAAAGCAATATCACCTTGAAGATGTTATAATGCTTTGTTTTGTTTTTATTTCTTTTACTTTTGTTTCTCTTGTTGGAGATAACTGTGATCATTACAGAGCTTGTAAAAAAGGCTCTGATTAACCTTACAGTTATTATCATTCGAGTTATTGTAGATAAAGTCGATCAATATATGTTCTAATAAACTGTGCACACGTACAGGTTAATGATAGCAGCTGTGCAGTGAGATGAGCTATACGACCAATTTAAAATGAGTGATGGCACAGGAGGTTAGATGCAGGTTTGAGTACAGCTATAAAGCATCCGAATGAGCCACAAGTGCGTGCTCAGGCCACTGTAACACTGCAGATGCAAGATAAGTTTGAACTGTAATACAAACACGGCTGCTTAAAACAGGAAAATCGCTGGAATATCTGCACGAACAGAACCATGCAGACAGAAGGAAAGAGTCCACATAGTGGCCTAAGAGTAAAAGACACTGATAATGTGAGTGTTCAGGATATTAGTTTCATTTCTGCTGTCTGAGTTAGGATAAAAGTGCTCTAAAAACCTAAAAACGTCCCACTGTGGAAAAGGAGAGAAATATACAGTTATAACCTGCATGGGAGCATCTGAAGCTGTGGACTGCAGCACTGCGGTAACATAATCAGTGTTTATGAAGATCAGGCCCTGCCTGAACACAGAGCTTGACTGATTGTCTAATCCTTTAATATTACGCAGAAGATTGCATCAGCTAAGAAAACACTTCCTGTATATTTAACTGCTGCAGGTTCTGGCTCCTCCTAGCAGTGTGTGTGTGTGTGTGTGTGTGTGTGTTTGATGGTGACACGGGTCACATCCACCTCTTTTCTCTCTTCACCCCTATCTGCACCCAACAATCAGCCAGCATCAAGTTTCCTGTTTAAACTGCGAGTTTGGAGGAAATAGACTGAGTGGAAATCAGAACTAGAGTTTGTAGATGCTGGTATCAGGCTTCTATATAGCTGTGAGCCACTTGTAAATATTCTGTAAATAGCAAATTAAACCAGTGATCATACACTGTAAATAAGAGCACTTAGTGTCAGGTTAGCGGGAGTGAGAAGTCCTATTTGCTGAACACGTTTTTCTCATATTCTTGGTCACAGAAATCTCAATATTTGGCGTTTTCCTTTCTGGTAGGGCAAATGGGGAGACATTAGTATTCTGTTCATGATTTTGGGAACGGCTCATCTCTGCAGCAAATAATCTGTTGCTCAAAACTCCTGGGAGCAGGAAAAGTAGGGAATCTGTGTTTAGGTAAACCCTATGCTTTAGTGATGAAATGGCTCTTAGAGCCGAGGCGGTAGTTACACTCAGTAGCTCAGGAACAGAGCGGGAGGGAGAGAGAGAGAAAGAGAGGCAGGGACGACAACATCACATTAGAAAGGTATAGTAATCATCCACAACTATTTTCAGTTGCTGATGATAAAGGATTCAGAAAGTTTATTCATGCAGGTCCATATGACAGAGAATATGCATGTTCTTTTTGTTTTCATATTATAATTTATATTTAATTGTGTTGTGGTTTGCAGTGTTTTGTGTTGTTTCACTTTAAATTTGTAAAAGGAAAAAGCTGAAAATTTAAATAGTTAAAAGTTGAAATATGAATAGTTGGTTTTTGTATTATATGATTTATTTATTACATTTTATGTGGAGTGAATAAATAAAAGTATATTTATGGTGGCCCCTAGAGACAAAGCACGTAAAAACTCCAAAACACGTAAAAACTCCAAAACACGTACAAAACACAACAGAAGTGCTCCAGGATGCAGGCGCAGTGTTGAGCTTTTGTTACCTAGTGGCTACACAAGCCAGGAAGCACCAACGACCGGATTTGGTGTGTGGTAGTAACAGGTAAATGAACTTTTTTTTTAAATTATTTGAATATATATGAGTGATTGTGTATAAATACACAAACAATACAAATATGCTTTCAATTGTGTCATTTAAGTGATCTAGGTAGCTCTGTTTTGAAGTTCAGTTCATGCTAGATGTGTTTTGGAGTTTGGACGTGCTTTGTTTCTAAGGGCCACCGCATATATTTATACATAAACATATATAAATAAAACCACTTTTGTTTTTTACATTAGTAATTCCTTTTGTGCATAATTTTATATTATTGTTAATAATAAATTAATTAAAGCAACAAAATAACCTGGAGAGCCGGTTCGGAGCCGAAAGAGCCGGCTCTCTAAAAATAGCCGTAAATCCCATCACTACTATGCTTGCACATTACATAACTGAGTTGCTGCCATTAAAAAATAAAGTAAATTGCCATCATGTTTTCCAGTATTCAGGTATTTCTTGTGTTTCTGTTCATTTTGGGTCTTACTTTGCCACTCTGGTCTCCACTCCTGCATATCTCACAACCCTCATCAGGCCGGATCGAGTACCGAGGAAAGCCGTCTCAACCCCTGGCTCCACCCTGCATACAAACAACAGTAACACAAGATTAAAAGGGAAATCAGCTCTTTATCAGGAGCAAAAATCGGACAAACGTCACACGTTCCAAGAAAAGCCCCAAAAGTTTTTACAAGTAAAACACCTCAATTGATCTTCCAGATATTTTTGGTTTTATCTGTTTAGGTTTTAGGACATCTCATAACCAATAAAACGTCAGGGCATGTCATGTCTCCTGCCTGACCTGTCGTTCAGCATCAGGGTGTTCCAGTAGGCCTCAAGCGGAGCTGTGACCACGGCGTCGAACAGCGTCTGCGACAGCAGCACCTCGTCACCTGGTTAATGGGAAAGCTTCAGTTGAATGAAAGCAGATTCAAGGTCAACCTGGACCAGAGCTTCTAACTGAACACAGAAAAGGGGAACAAACTAAAGCTTGAGTGTCAAAAACCTACACTCGAGGTCAGGCTCCTTCCCCAGCAGGTAGCGGATGGCGGCCTGCAGCTGTGAGTACTTTCGGTGATCAGGGTCGATGTCTGTCTCACAGTAAGTCCTGAGGAAACCAGATCTATTAAACCAGGTTCACAGAACCTCTGTATTCTGCAGGACGTTTGACAGGGTTTCAGGCCAATAACATTAATATATTTGTAGGCTGTCTGATCAGTGTCAGTGTCAGAACAGATAAATGAAATGGCTGAAAACGTTTGTCTTAAATCATCATCAAGGACGGTTTTTACCACTCAGAGGCGATGGTGAGATCTGGTGAGGTCAGATCATGCAGCCCTGAGAAGCAAGGTAGAAAAAGTTTAGTCGGTTCAAATGAAAACACAGAAGTTTACTTCACGTTAGTTTAAGAAATGTGTTGCAGAGCATGTAGTTAACAGGCTCCACACAGCACACGATTTCAAGTCTGTGCTGAGGGCAGTTGTGGGAAACCTCACCTTCTTCCACAGATACATTTCCCATAAACATGAGCTTCCCGTGACCTTTGGTCAGTGCCATGCCGAAGCTGCGGAGACAGGTGGGGAGACGGTGACACTAATTTGATTTCTGCACCGTACAGTGTGCCCTGCTGCCCTCTAGAGGCCTCCTGGATGAAGCTCAAACATTACAGGACATATTTTCTGTACTAATATACAATAAAAAACTTTTTGATCCATCCCTCTGTATTTTTGATTATCTCTTCTTTTCTTTAAAGACCATAAGCACATACTACAGGCTTGTGAGATGAATTTCTGCTGCTATCTTCTACAGGGGATCCGACTTTGACCATTCCTTCGTAAAAGCTGGAGTTGTGCGCCCTTCATTAATGTTCCAGTAGAATAAAATCCAAAATTAAGCAGCAGGGAATAACATTCGACCTAAATTTGATGTTGTGTAAATTATGTGATATATTATAAGTTTTCCTTCTTTTACCCTGACTAAACATTAAGTCAGGATGCATGAACAGCGTACAGCTAGACCTTACAGGCTTTCACAGCTGACTGACAAGTTTGACTGAAAATTCAGCGAGTGATGATGTCACTGTGCTACGCGTGAACAACCGGAAGAACAAACTGTCAGACAGGGCACGAGAGGACTGATGGACAAAGCACAAAGCACTGCGCGTTTACCTGAAAGGCGTGTTGTCAATGTTGGTGTAGAAATATTCGTTGGTGAGGTACAGCGGCCTTTTCTGTGGCACAAAGAATCATTTTATCAGTGATGCTGCAGTTTATCGGCACATTTAATAAGCAAACTCTACGATCGACTGACTGAGACATCAGTATTACCCCTTTATCCACCGACGCTCTGATGTTCAGGCTGAGAGTGCCCGTCTCTCCTTTCACCATGGCCGTCCTCAGCTGAAAGTAGAGAAAGGAGTTTAAAATAAACTCTGAGATATATTTTAAATGTTTTTCTGCCTAAAGAAAAAAAAGACAGTGATGCTACTGAACCACTTTAGAAATTCTCTCATGCAGAGAGAAATCAGGGATTACTAAACGCGAGGGGATTTAATAATAATAATAGTAATAATAATACATCCATCCATCTTCATCCGCTTTATCCGAGGCCGGGTCGTGGGGGCAGCAGCCTAAGCAAAGACGCCCAGACCTCCCTCTCCCCAGCCACCTCCTCCAGCTTATCCGGGGGAACACCAAGGCGTTCCCAGGCCAGCCGAGAGATATAATCTCTCCAGCGTGTCCTGGGTCTGCCCCGGGGCCTCCTCCCGGTGGGACATGCCTGGAACACCTCACCCAGGAGGCGCCCAGGGGGCATCCTTGTCAGATGCCCGAACCACCTCAATAAAATGTATTATTATTATTTAATAATAATACATTTTATTTAAAAATAGCGCCTTTCAGAGCTCCCAAGGACACTGTACAACAAATACAAAATAATAAGAGTAACAGATAAAAGTTAAAAGCGTGCAGAGGTTTAAACATAAGCAATTTTAAACAGGTGAGTTTTGAGGCTGGACTTAAAAAGAGGTCAGGGGGTGAGGAATTCCAGAGTCGAGGGGCAGAGCAACTAAAAGCCCCGCCCCCCACTGTAATCAGACGAGTGGAAGGAACAGAGAGAGAAAGAGAAGATCTGAGGCAGGATGGGAAGTTCATCTGTACTAGATCAGAGAGGTATTGAATTACAGTAATCAATTCGAGAGATAATGAGATTATGGACGAGAATGGCAGTGGCATGAGGAGTGAGGAAAGGGGGGAGGCGATTGATGTTACGGAGCTGAAAATATGCTGCACGTGTGACATTATTGATGTTTCCCTTTTCCTGCTTTTGGAACTTTTGACATTCACATGATGATATCCGAACAAACCCATCAATAATTGTGTCCTGAAATAATCTGTTTGTGTTTACCAGCTCGTCTGTGTCCTCCCACTCCACCTCTGACAGATCCACACTGTTATAGTTTGGCTTCGGCTTCAGTTTCTTTCCGTCTTTGTACTGCAGGACAGAAGAGGCACTGTTACTGAGTGTGTGTGTGTGTGTAATACTGTACAACCCTTCTCATAAATATTTGATACCGTTCCCTCTTAATGCACCCTTCAGGAGATTTGCTAAACTTTTATTACTTTAAATTTAGCTCAAGTAAATCAGAGCAGCTGCCACGGAGCCCGTGAGCTAAATGTGTCTTCCAAAGTGGCCTTGAAACACAGCTCACCAGAGGTCGAAGGTCGGGGTGAGACAGGATGTAGCCGTTGTTGTTGATGAGGAAGGCGTAGCCGTGAGCTCCCAGCTGAGAGGAGAGCAGAAAATATTTAAAGCGTTTATTTTGGAAATAAAATAAAGCAGAAACAGAGTAAACCGCCCAGAGCTCACCATGTATCGGGGTGCCAGCTTCATCACCTCCATCAGCGGGATGTCGGAGCCGACCACACCGAGCAGGATGCCATGGGACAGCTGGAGACAGACGCACAGTCAAAACTCAGAGTTATAATCAAGCACCAGCCTTTTGGTTTGTGCTTCTTTCAGACACATTCAGCCCACTTTGACCTTCAGTGGCGTGTCCCAGTGAAACTTCCTTTTCTGTCACTGTAAAGTTTAACTACACTTTTAATGCCTGTGCAATTTCAATATAACAAAAGATATGCATTTTCAACAGCAGGCTATTTCTGCAGCAGTGTTTAGTGTTCAAAAGTACAAAATAGTTGCTCTCTTTCACATTTTCCAAAGCAAAGCAGAATTTAAAATGTCATAGTAAACGTACGGCATGACAAGTCATCTGAACTATTTATCGATTTATTTCTGTTTTCATTGACTGTACAGACGTGCTGCTCTTCATCGTCAGGCTGATGTGTATCAGAGCTGACACTGACCGTCTCCTTCTTCTTGCTGAAGACCGGCATGGCCACTGAGGTCATGAGCAGCAGACTCTGAGCCTTGGTGGTGAAAAGCTGAGAGACGGGAGAACATTGGGCACAAAGTGTGATTATCTGAAGTACAGAGACAAACACTCAATATAATGAACAACAAATCTGTAACAGGTGCACACAGTATTACTGTCCACATTACACAACGTGTCGCTGGATAGACTCTGACAGACAGGACCGTACAGGTTTTACATTTTTGTTTTTATATAGTATGTTGGCATTTTGGGTCATTTCTTAATTTTAAAGGTGTTTTGCAGACAATGTTATTTGTCGGTGCGTTGATTTCACATTATGTGCACATCTGAGCTTGAACTCCAGGTGGTGGTGTGGTCCTGATGCGGACCTGCCATGATGATATGAGCACTACAATCAGTTTGAGAACACTTCAGGGAGGCCTCCAGCAACTTTCAGGAAACTGAGAAAAAGCCACCTTTTTAAAAGTCAACCCATATATCTATTTATTTGAATGTGGGAATATGGGATGGATGAATGGATGATCTTCTACATGAACAAAATAAAGATAAAAGAATCTAAAAAGTCTAATTTTCTGAAGCTCAGAGCTGATAAGACAGAGGTTCTAATTTCTGTACCAGAAAATATGCCCGTTCTGATCTAGAATAATCTAGGCCTTTGCCCTCAACTGTTCCTGTCAGTGTACCTGATCTAAGACTTCGTGTTGATCAGTCCTTGTCCTTCGACACACAGAGTTCTCCAAATGCTGTTTTTTCCGACTCACTAAAATCATCAAGGAAAGGTGCTTGTTTGTGTTTTGTCTCTTCTTGTATAGACTTCTGTAACTCTCTTTTTCTGCACTCAGTAAGTCGACACCCTGGGTTGCCTGGACGCAATTTTAAAAATGCTAATTTACTACATCAAACAGACCGTCTCATACAACTCCACTTTGATGTTACTTCACAAGCTCCCTGTAGCACTTACAATGCTGTTTAAAATCCTCACCCTTACCTACAGAGCATTTCATGCTCAGGCATGGCAGCTAATGGCTATTTGAAAGGCTTCTCCTGTTGCACAGGAGGAAGAACATGGCCTAAAACCTGAGATCCAAACATGTCCATGCAGTTCTCAGATATCTTCACACAGGTGTGTTGTAGTATTTGTAAGCTGGGTTTCTGCAGCTCTGAACCATTGCAGCTTAAAAAGCTGAACTTTGTGCTGATCCTTTGGATCTTCTGATAAAAGAAATGCCAAAAATAAACTCCATGTTATATACTGATGGTAGAACCTGTAGGAGCTTCACACAAGTCCAACAGATGAAGAACTAACTATTAATCTAAAACTGCAACTTCTTTTTTTTTTTTTTTTACCTCCTCTGTGTTTGGAAGCTGTTGGGGTGATGGAGATGAAGGCCCAGAGGATCATGGGATAATGGGTTCATGGAGACGAGGAGAAAAAACACACATGACAATAATGACATTGTTCTGATTTAAATGAGCCCTTCACAACAGATTTAAATAGAATGGTAGTGTATACTGTAAATATGTTTAATGGCTTCTTTAAGCCCTTTGATTGGCCAGGCAGGCTCACCACAGTGTCCATGTAGGCCTCTGTCCAGATGATATCGTGGTCATGGTTGATGACCATTGGCCGACTGAGCACGTGCAGGTACTCCATGACGTTCTCCTGCACATCTGCCAGTGTGGCGATGTGTGTGTAATAACCTGAAAAAACACATGTGAGCATATTAGTGTCTGCATGAAGAAAAAGCAGGAAAGTATCACACACAGGACCGACCTTTGTTGTTGCAGGCGATCCACTTGGTGTTTTGAGCAAAGGTCATCTCTCTGCCAATCAGGTAGGTGAAGACTCGCACCTGAACACAGTGGCACACCTGTTTATGTCCGTGTTTGCCCGTTTACAAAGTTACCTGCTAATGTTTTTGTGCAGGCAACTGTAGTTAAACACAGGAAGTCGGGTTTAGAGCACCTCATTCTTACTCAGTTTGAGTAAGAATGAGGTGATAAGACAAAGGAGTTGATAGTGGACTTCCGGAGGTGCAGAGAAGTACACACCCCCATCACCATCAACGGCGCTGCTGTGGAGAGAGTGAGCAGCTTCCGCTTCCTTGGTGTACATCTGGCTGAGGATCTTACGTGGTCAGTACACACAAACAAAACAGTGAAGAAGGCGCAGCAGCGCCTCTTCTTTCTCAGGAGACTGAAAAGATTCGGCATGAGCCCCCGCATCCTCAGGACCTTCTATCACTGTGCCATTGAGAGCATCCTCACTGGATGCATCACCACCTGGTATGGCAACAGCACCGCCTACAACTGCAAAGCTCTCCAGCGAGTAGTGCGGTTCTCTGAACGGATAATTGGAGGTGAGCTTCCCTCCCTCCAAGACATCTACAGGAAGCGGTGCCTGAGGAAAGCGGGGAGGATCATCAAGGACTCCAGTCACCCCAGCCATAAACTGTTCAGACTACTTCCATCAGGAAGGAGGTTCTGCAGCATCCGGTCCCGTACCAGCAGACTGAGAGACAGCTTTTTCCATCAGGCCATCAGACTGCTGAACACGTCATAGACACCTCAGCTTCACTACTGGAACTTTAACATTATGCACTCCATACTGTACAGTAATGCCACTGTTTTGCACATGTCTCACTCTGTATATTTGATTTTATATATTTTATTTATTGTTTACTCTATTTAATTTGTAAAATATGTGTACACACACACACACACACACACACACACACACACACACACACACACACACACACACACACACACACGTAGGAAAATATTTAGTATACACATCCAGAAATGCATATACTATTATATATTGTACATATATTTATTAGTTTCAGATGTAGCCATTCTTGTATTTTGCTTGTTTACATTATTGTATTTTGCACATCTCTGTTGCTTGTGAAGCTCGCACACAAGAATTTCACTCACATGTGCTGTACCAATGTACCTGCACATGTGATGTGACAATAAAAGTGATTTGATTTGATTTGATACTTTGACAATAAAGAGGTAATAATCAATAAATTACCAAAGTAATACACAAGTAATACGCTGATACAACAATTGTATATAGAACTGTCTAACAACAGACAAAATACATTCAAAGGTTACAGTATATAGAGACATTTAAGTGACGTCACTATAAAATATATTCATATATTTACATATTATTGTAACAGTAACTTTTTAAGAAACAAATATGGTGATATTAATGGTGTAATAATAGTAAGTAATGAGGTGAAACAGGCTATGATGTAGAGTTAATTCATTTCTAATATGGAAAAGCTCTCAGCTCGCAGTCCTCACCCTGCGCTCAGGCCAGTTGAACTCCTCAAAGACGGACTGAAAGTCCTCCATGGCGCCGTCTGTGATCAGCATGATGGCCTGGTTACACATGCTGCCCTGACCGTTCGCCCTCGCCTGCACACAAATGCACAACTTAGACACAGCAACAACTCCATCATCGATCTCTACTCTTTGAAAAGAGAATAAAAAAGCACTTTGTGATGCTAGATATCATTTTTTAGATTTAAGCCCCTTTTAAGCCAAGGAAACAGCAACTTTACTGTAAAGAAAATCTTTTTGAGTCTTCCCGCTCTCCAGGAAGCTTGTTGTGAACATTAAACCAGCTTAAAATTGTTTTAAACCATGAATATCCAAACAACAGTTTAACAAAGTATTGTACCCAACAGAGAAAACAATAAGTGCATTACAGTAGTCCAAACATCTTGTCATAAAAGCATGGACAAGATGTTCAAAAACATAAAAAAGATAAAGTAAACTCACTAAAAGCCTCAACCATTAAAAAACTAGTTTTAATAAGAGAATTTATCTCCTTATCTTAGATTCACAGTCCAGTTTGACACCACAGTTTTCTGCTGGGTCTGAACACCTCAGGTTACTCTCAGTGAAATAATTAAAAAACCAGCAGCAGCCAGCAGTGTTACTCAATGCACCAAAGGTAAAAATGTGAAAAATCCAAGGTGATTGTCAGAAGACTTGACCTCTGACCTTGACTTTGTCGAGGTCACTCAGAATTACTCGGCGGGGTGACAAAAATACCCCACGAGCCTTTGATGGTTGAGGGATAAAAAATGATGGGAATGTTTACTTTGATGTTCTTTAGAAACTCCACCTGTGGTTTAGGGGAGTTGATATTTTCATTGGTAGGTAAATGTAAGTGTTGTTAAAAAAAATGGTAGACACGGCCATGTTATTTAGAAATCAGGCCAAGATGGAGCAGATAAAATCAATATAAGTTAGGAGAGTGGTAAAAAGCGGGCTGAGCGGACACTAACCTCGTTCAGGATTTTGAAGGACTCCTTCATGGCATTCTTGATCTTTGCTTCGCCTTTGACATGCAGCTCCTCCACCAACACCTTAAAGTGCTGAGACAGGAAACGAGTACAAAGAGGCTTCGTATACAGACAGACATTCATTTTTATTGCCCAGATTCAAAGAAATTCTGATTTAATTTAATTTGAATATATGTGCCTCCCTTTATCCTGTCAGTCAACTACAACCAAGTTTCAATCATTTATTACTTAGGTGACTAATTTTGATCTTGTGTTTGAGGTAGTTTTGAAAAATACGGTACCTTCAGCCTTAACACTGAAACTCTCACAAGCACAGAGGCTCTCTAGCTCCAGCTTGACCTGCTGTGGTTTCTGATGCCACTTTAAGAATTAGGCTAAGAGGCTGATCTGATAATGACACTCGGGGTTTTCCTCTGTGTTTGCGTCTGTGTGATGGCTGCTAAGATGCCTCCTGGGCTCTTTAGGCTTCCATGAAGCAGATAATGGTCTCACCTCTCTGTTGTCCAAGTCGGCCTGGACCAGAGTTCCTCTGAAACACGGCTCCACGTAGCGAACGTAGTCTGTGTACTGCAGACAGGGAAAGAAACACAGACGAGGCAGGCTCATGAGCAAAAACAGGCAGTCAGTGGTTCCATTAACTAATCCAGTAATTGAACCTTTAATGTTTTAGTGATAAAGCTATGACTTCACAATGATGTTGATGTTACCCAGACTTAAAAAGTACTCACACCAGCACAACACATGCTTTTCATAATGAAACTGAGAAGTGATTACAGTTTTTAAGATGTGAGGGGTTTCCTGACCAGCCAGGTCTTAATCCAACATCAAATTAACGTGTTGGTTCCAACACGTTAATTTGATGATCTTATAGTTATTTGGTTATAACTTGTGACATTTCTATGTTAGGAGTTCTTCCTTGTTCTTGTTTAGTTCCTTTCCATTTCATTTGGATAGTGTTTGTCTCTGGTACTTTGTATGTAGTTTTCTGAGTACTGCATCTGAATCCTTTCAGGGCTTCAGGATATGCACGATATGAGAACTTATGAGCCTGTAGCGCTAATGAAGCAGGCATGGATTACCATCACTGTAAATACCATCTCTTTGCATAAATGTGATTTATTATCCAATAAGTCTTAAAAAGAAAGGAAATAATTATGGTTATTTTTTAACTCTAGATACCAGTAAAAATAATTTAAATTGAAAAAATGTATGAAACTCCAAATTTATGTCACTTGTGAAACTTTTGGTCATGACTGTTGTTTTCCTGCCATTTTTCACTTAAACGCTGCTCAGAGTCACAACACTGTAATAGTTTTTAAGTAGATGTGCGCATGTCTCACAGCAATGACGTTGACAAAGTCGTTCTCTCCCAGTGTATCCAGAATGGTGTTGATGGTGTGTTTGGCAATGGTCATCTTCAGTCCCTTCATACTGCCGCTAATGTCCACCATGATGATGATGTCTTTGGGAGACGTGGCAGCCTGGATGTACCTGTACACAGGAAGTGGAGACAGCCAATGGCTGTTGGGATCAATAACATTGGTCCAAACTCCACAGAGTAGTGGAGCAGTGCCATTGACATTATACCTGTATACATATATTATATATTATTAGCATACACTCAGAAAAATGAAATTGGTTGGTTGTTACGTGTACAAGATTCAAACTTGTAATTTGAACTAAATAATTTCATGTTTCTATGGTGAACGTGATTAAATCATATAGCATCTGCATGAACTTCAGCAACTTAATTTGTTCTTGTTGAGATGACCTGATACGATCTAGTAAGAGTGGTTAGTTGTCTGGAATCACGAAATTCACAAGATCATATTAGAGGTCAAACTGCAGGAAAATCGCTGGAGTTTTAAGAGGCAGACAACTACACCCACACCACGTGTATGCTATTGCTATTTATTGTGGTTCAACCTGTCAAGGACAAAAACGTACAGAAAATTCTGCATCAAGCCTTGTAAACATATCTTTCCTACTTTTGTTAAGCCTGGAGTGACAGCTTGGAGGTGTGATGGTTACTGCTGTTGCCTCACAGCAAGAAGGGCCTGGGTTCAAATCCACAATCTGGCTGGTTTGCAGTGTGTAATTAGAGTTACGCTAATTGGTGATTCTAAATTATCCATGAATGTCAGTGCAAATGGTTGTTTGTCTCTATGAAATCATCAACCGCCATATTGGTTCATTAAGCAAGACTAATTGCCTTGATTACCAAAGTAGTTGTTCAAACAACAAGATTTCATTGTGTTCTCCTAAAGTTTTTAACTTGTGTCGAATGAATTAAAACAAATTTCACTTTAAATACTTCAATAAATCACTTCAAGTCAATGTAAGTATACTACGTTGATCCAACGTAATCTGATTACATTAAACCACCAAATGCCAAATGTGTTGGTTTGACATGGTCAAAAATGGGTTATTGTACTTGGTTAAATCACGTGGAAAAAGGTGCCACGATTAAATTGTGTTCATCCAACAACAGATTTTTTTGAGCGTACATTATCATTGCTATGCAGATGATACCTAGCTGTATCTATCCACCAAGCAAGATGACACACACCAGTTACTTAAACCACAAGAATGTCTTAAAGACAAAGGAGTGGCTGACCTCGAATTTCCTGCTTCTAAATTCAGACAAAATTGAAATGATTGTAGTCGGCCCATAAACCTTGGAGACATGATGTCTAACCCAATACTTACTCTGGATTACACTGGCCTCCAGTAACACTGTGAGGAATCTTAGAGTGTCCTTCAACATCCATTAAAACAATCTAACTGCAACAGTTCCAGCAGCCAAAGGTCAAATGTGAACAGGAGCATCAGGCAACCTTCGAGCCTGCAAAGTACAGCCAATATAGAAGAACCGAAAACTGCACTTCCCCTAATGGCCACTTTAAGCTGTCTGCAAAATGTCCAACTTAACTAATTATGATAACACATAACAATTAAAAGCTGAGCAGTAAATCATACTTTAAGCTGTCACTCTCAAACATGGACAGAGATATTAGAGGGAACCATGAACTGCAGATCTTCTCGTCTCTGGGAAAAACTGTGTGGATGCTCCTGGGCCAATTTTTGAAGAAGAAAAAAAGAAAGAAAGAAAAGAAAAGTGGCCTCATCATATAACTCACAGAAATCTGGTTCTCCTGTACTCCTTTACTTTGCAAAGGTGAATTTAAACCTTTAGACTGTGACTGTCCAGCACTGAACAGAATAAAATATATTTATGGTTAACAGATTGTTAGCTTCATACAGGGGAACTGGGGATTTGTGTAAAAATCTAATCTTTATAGTTTGGTGAATTCTAATCAACGTAAGGAGTTTGTTATTAATTTCTGGCAGAAATGTCTGATTTCCAGCGAACATTCTCAACAGGTTCTTTATGAGCTGCTTTTAGAAAATCCAGGAATTGCCCCTGCAGATAAAAACGTATCATCTATCATCACAAACTCAATCTGCATGTTTCACAGTCTCTCTCAATGTAAGTCCCTGCAGATGTATGGCAGCTCAGCTGCAGTAATGTGGAGCGATGAGGCATTCAGGGACATATGCAGTTCTCTGGTATTATTTAGAAATGCATGAGCAGTCACATATGGTGCCATGTGGGCTGCCGTGACCCGGCTAAGGAGCAGCTTATCGTCTTTTCCAGAGGATCAGTGTCTGGCTGGCCTCTGCTCAACCAATGCAAAGCCAGTGGAGTGGCCACTTAGACTGACTCAAATTCAGCCTCATGGAGGGATTTATTCCATTTTTGCATTGTACTAATTCCTGCTGTTATATAGATAAGTCTATACACAGTAGCACAGTTGGTACATCCCTGATAATGAGGTTTTACTCTTAAAGATGATGATTCTACAAGTGTTCAGAAATTTGGAAGCTTTTCTATCTCCCACTGGAAGAGTAAGCACCATGTTTGGCTGGTTTACGTTCAGGCAGAAGCATTTATGTCTTTAACTGAAGCAGCTTTATTTGTGTGGGGAGCTGAAGGCAGTGAAATATAATGAAGTCTTCTTCTTCTTGCATCTGTAAAAAGATTAAATTCACACTTTGACTGAGGTGCTTCCAGCCTCCCTCATTAGTGGATTCTGTGTTTCTCTTTCTCTGCTGCTGGTGAGTTGACACCTTTAAAATTAACATGCTAAACTTAGCAACCCAGCTGCCTCAGTGTTTGCCTGCAGGACATTTAAGTATTTAATATCATTCGAGTGAGACACAACCCTAATCAAGCAGGCTTCAGTGGGTCATCAAACCAAACAGCCAAGGTGAAATATAGCCCTTGTTATGCTTAAGCACATAACCTCAGAAATGATTATTTTACTGTTCCAAAAATAGCAGAGCCCCAGTGAGTAGTGTGACTCTGTCACTTCAAAGCCTCTCAGAGATAAAAAGCAGGAAAACCTGAGCCCATTAAGCTTTTGAGGTTCTCGGGTTCTGGAGTAATGTGTCCCCCACATGATTATCACCACTGAACTTTACCATTTACCATAAATACAAAAAAATTCAAATGAGCTGTACCTCAGAAGGCAAAGACAAATGATTGGTAGAACAAACTCACCAGTTTCTGTTCCTGCAGTCGAAGGCTACAACACCGTTGGAGTCTGGAGTCCATTTAATACCTGACCAAAAGACAAGGAGTCAGTTCACAGAGTGACACCTGTGATATCAATAAGAAAAAACGTACATGGATACAAGGATATAAGAAATATTGAAAGACAAACAGGGAAGTTTGTGTGGATTGTATGGAATTGTATTATATGATCATTCCAAAATGATGTCAAACTGCCTAATTTCACTTGTTTTATTTCAGTCAGGACCATAAGGGTCAAACAAAGACTGGTATTTCCACAGCAAGAGCCCAGAACAGAACAGAGGCACCATCAGTGGCAACAGATGCATGAAAAAGAGTAAATGATACCATAAGGATTATTTTGAATTGTGAAATAATGCAAAGCTACTCTATTAGAGCCAAAAATAAAATCATGGAGCTGGAAACGAGCAGGACACTTTATGGCTGAACTCACCAGGGTAGATCCTGAAGAAACCCGTGGAGCTGCCAAAGTACTGCCAGGTGAGTGTAGGATCCTTCTGGAAGTTACCGATGAAGATGTCGTTTAAAGCCTCTGTGTTGTAGATGGCATTGAGGATGTTAGGATCTGCACACAGAGGAAAAACATGCTGATTTAGAGCTTCCTTTTAAAGAGCCATGACCTATGTTGAGGGAGTCAGCCATGAAGCACCTCTGACCTTTGTTGTGCACATTGGTGGGAACCTGGATGTTGCTCATCTGAGTGTTGACAGGCAGTTTATTAAAATGTTCATTCTCCTCGAGGGGAAATTCTCCACCCAGATCCACATAGTTCCCATCCTCATCCGCAGTGTTGATCATCATCGAATTGTAGTAATCAAACTGGGAGAGGCAGCAACAGGAAATTCAGTTTGTTTTGTTTTTCACACAGAAATCCTGATTTTCAGTTCATTCAGATTATTGAGGAGTTAGAATCTGGTCTAATGTGTTTTTGTGTTTTTGACCCCTCAGGGCCACCATAAGCATGCAGAGCTTGAAAACTGTCAGGTTTTTGGCAACAAAGGCTGAGAAAAAGTTTTTGATGTTGACAGTAGCTATAAAAACACGTTGCATCTCACATTTCCTTTTTAATAAGGTTTGACTGGATCAGGGCGCCTCTGCCGCTACGGGCTCATTAAGGTCCTAAACGTCCCATAATGCATGAGTGCCTCTTGTGTACTCTCTCACCAATACTGTATATCATTAAGCTTTTATCTTGTGGTTTTTCTTTCTGTCCTCTCTCTCCTTGTACAGGACCTTCCTGCATCCCTTCCTGTCAAAAATGAGTTTTTCCCCTCTTCTGTCACCAAGTGATGGTAATGGTATTGTTGGGTTATTATTTGGACCTTATGATATAAGGTGCTCTGGTATAACTTTTATTTAGTGTTGCTTAAATGAAGCTGAATTTACTTAGGACTTCTACCATGTACAACATCACAAACTCTATCATTAGGTGCTTGTGTTTGAATATACTGTTTAACCCTTTAAGACCTACCATAGAACCAAGTCCGCCAGAGCTTATATTATATTTTTACATGCTGTAGTGACATTTTTGGGAGCATTTCAAGTTGCTATACAGCAATACAACCATTACAGTCCAAATTTTAATAATATGTATGCATTAAGTGCATACTAATTACATAAATTGCAAAAAAGTGCAATAAACTACAAAAAAAATTGAAAATCGTTTTTGTTTTTTTAACATATATTTCTAGTTAGAGAAATTTAAGAGGCTTATCCCTCAAAACTAAATACAAAAAAGTTGCACAAAATAGTTTCCCACCACAGGAAACTTATTTTAAGTGTCTTCATAGTTTTATTTTTGAAATACACCAATTTTTATATACTGCAGGAAAAACAAAAATAAATATTATAATGCAAATTATAAAAAAAACCCCACCAGTATAGGCTCATAAGGCCCTGATGGTAAAAACTACATTTCCGCAAAATGACGTCACTTCCGGTTTCGGGCAGGTCATGGCGGACATGCGATAGTTCGCGCTGATGGACGTAGGAAGTGTTACAAACAGCTGATCGGATCAGCAAAGCGTGTTTCTGGAATATTATGCTTTTGTTGCTGCAAGTGCTTTTTATGCAGTTTTTGCAAAGCTTTATGTGGAAGGAAACCGTGACCTAGGACAAGCTGATGGCATAAGATGTAAGTACAACTCATCCGGCTTCATATGCAAAAAAAAATTATTGCGCTAGCTTACATGGTTGCAGTGCTACTGGGATTTAAAAATAGTTACGCAAAAGGAGCGTGCCCACTCCGACCGGCTTTAAAGGGTTAAACATCTCTGGCTTCACAATATGAAAATGTGTACAGAACAAATTACATTTGTTTCATTCACATAAGTTTACGGCAGAATATCAGAAATACAAACCCACAGATGGAAGAATCCAGAAATACTTAACTTCCCTGATGCTTATTGTGCGTTTCTTTGCGACCCAGTTTCCTATAGGATCAGTGAAGTTTGACCTAATCTAATTTCAGGAGTCAGCTGAGGTTTAAACCTCCAATCTGCTCCGGCCTCACAGCCTGCTGTCAACTCTGATCCACGCACAGTCAGCTAATGATAGCATTCAGCTAAAGACAAGGAAAGTACAAATGCACCAAACACTGACACATGACAGACTTGGAGGTTTTATCGTCCATCAGCATTAATTTAAACATGCAGAATACAGAATACGTCCTGGGTGATTCCAAACTAGCCAGTGAATCAGTTATCATCAAAACCAAAGAGTTGCACTGACCTTTAATGTTGCATTGAATTCATGGTACAAATCTGAGTCTTCTGCAGATTCTGCTAACCTCTGGCACAAGAAAAAGAGGAGAGAAATAAAACGGAGACTAAAAGACTGCACTGCACATGCACAGAAAAGCAAACCAGCGAAAAATTATGAAATGTGCAAAATCTACATTTTAAAGGTTCATTAGCTACAATGAGCTAAGAAATTATTATTATTATTATTATTATTATTATTATTATTATACAGTCTCAAAAGAGTATAGAAAGAAAAGGACTTTGGTGAGCAGATTCTTTTAGTTTTTATTATCAATATTATCAGGACTCCTTAGAGCCACAACAATATGAGTTGTGGCTCCATGAGTTGTGGCACTTCCTTTAAGAAAAATTCAGATATGAATGGCTTTAAAGGAATATGCACAGCTGGATTTAGCTGCGTTGGGAAAAAGTGAATTAGTTACTGTAGCGCAGAGTTCAACACAAAGGAATTCATCAACAAAGGCAACATTTAAGCACCAAAATGATTTTTATCAAGGCTAGTGTCACAGTTCTGGGTCATTTTGACGCAGCTTTTTCTGTTTGTTATATTTTGGTGTTTTTCTAGATTATGATTTATGTTCTGATTCTTGAGTTGTGCTGGTTTGATTTTGTATTATATTTTCTGTCAAGTCTGTCTGTCTCTGTCAAGTCTGCGTCTTTGTAAATTGTTTCCTGTTTTATTTTGATAGTTCCAGTCCTATGTCAGCGTATTCAGTTAGCCCTAATTTCTCCCAGCTGTGTCTCCCTCCTGTTTTCCATTCTCTGATTACGCCACTGCGTATTTAAGCCCTGTGTTGGCCTTTGGTCTTTGTTGCGTCATACAGTCTACATGCTGTGTGTTTGTAGTGTTCCAGTGGTGCAATTCCTCTGTTCTGAGTTTTGTTTTGTTTTTGTGGGAGTTATTTATAAGGAGATTTTTCCAGCATTAAAGTTGTGTTTTCAGTTCCAGTCCCGTCTTTGAGAGTCCTGCATTTTGGGTCCTTTTTCCTTCCTGCCTGCCACACAGCCTATCATGACAGTTAGAAACAGAACATGATTTGAATGCATAAATAACAGAGGCTTTTTTAAAGCTCGGTTTTCTGAGCTTCCAGCTTGATGCACAGCCATGAAACATTCTTCCAGTTGAAATACATTTAGGACCATCACACATTTTTCCATAAGACCAGTCAGACCCAACTACTTCTACTTCAACTGCTCCAGCTGCACACTTTATACAAAGTGATCACAGTGATATTGTTCATGCCACAAAGAAAACTGTCTAACGGATCATTCTGCTGTATTTTGTTAGGCAGCAAACTAATGACACAAATTATAACAGCATGTACTAAAAAACACAATCTTGTAATGAAGATGCAAAAGCAGGAATCACATTATTTTAAAAATCATGGGTTCAAATTAGTTCGGTCTCCCAGGAATAGTCCTGAAAAACCTCCTTTTAATGATCCTCACCATCACCGACTTCATCTTACTTCCCAACATTCGTTCGATTTCATCAGAGTAGTCCTTCACCAGGTCTTGTCCATCCACCTCTACGATCTTAATGATTGGCTCCACATCCTTCAATTTCTGAGACAAAAACAAAGACAGAGTCAAGAACAGCAGAAGTTTTTTTTAAATATACAATAACAACACATATAACATATTTAATATTTATTTCAATGCACTTTACACATCATCCCCCATTCACCCACGCACTCACATTCCTACAAGCACTTTCTTCAACATCTAACTGCTTTTCTATCTAACATTTAAACTCATCCGCGCTTAGATGAATGCATTAGAGAGCACCTTGGAGCAGCCAAGGCTCTAACTCCTGAGCTGCAGCCACCATACCGTTCGTACATTAAATAAACATTAACTCTAGAAAGACAAACTTGCAGCGTGTCATCAGTTATTACGACATTTCAGGATAATCCCAACAAGGTCTGATGTCTTATCCTGTGTTTACAGTATAAATAAAATGAGTCTCTCTCTCTCTCTCTCTCTCTCTGAGTGAGTCTCTCTCTCTCTCTCTCTCTCTCTCTCTCTCTCTCTCTCTCTCTCTCTCTCTCTCTGTATGTGTGTGTGCTTGCGTGTATTCTTATACTGAGGGGATATCTGAGGTTATTGGGTCACTTTCTTTGTGTGCGGAGGGTCAGCCCAGTCTGGGTATTTACACTCTGAATCTCTTCATTAAGTCACTCCCTAATTCCAATTAGTTCAAGCTGCCCAAACTGAAGCAAATACACAAGCAGAGCCAAACATTGAGTCAAACCTCTGTGAAAATCTTTTATCTCAGTCCTGCACACTTGCTGTACAGTATAATGAGCACAGAGCTCTATGGAGTCACAAAAAGGATTTCTCAGTGGTTGTTTTGCATCTTAGAGGAAGGGGCCTCAGTGGAAATGTAACCTAGTGTACCTTTGATTATGATGGGTTGCTGCAGAGTGACCCATCACTGAGAGGTCAATTCAATTTAATTTTATTTCTATAGCACCAAATCTCAACAACAATCATCTCAAAGCACTTTATATTGTGAGGTAAAGACCCTACAATAATACAGAGAAAACCCCAACAATCATATGACCTCCTATGAACAAGCACTCTGCAACAGTGGGAAGAAAAAAAACCCTTTTAACAGGAAGAAACGTGCAGCAGAACCAGGCTAGGGAGGGGCAGCCATCTGCCACGACCAGTTAGAGGTGAGGGGAGGAAGACAAGACAAAAGACATGCTGTGGAAGAGAGCCAGAGATTAATGATATCCATCCATCCATTCACTTCCGCTTATCCAGAGGACACCCTGGACAGGTCGCCAGTCTGTCGCAGAGCTAACACACAGAGACAGACAACCATTCAACCATTCGCACCATTATGCCAGAGTACACGGGGAGAACATACAAACTCCATACAAAAAGACCCTGGCCTGATGGTGGGATTGAACTCAGGACCTTCTTGCTGTGCAGCAACAGTACTTTCCTTTGGTGTGATACGGTACTATGAGGTCTTTAACCTCCTAGGACCTGATGTCCACATATGCGGACATCCCATTTTGGGTTGTCTAGACCAAAATACTAAATTTTGCTCTACAAGGGCCTGATATCCACTTACGAGGACATTATACTGCCACATGTATGCTATGCCTTCTGAAGATACTGCCAAGGGAAACCATGTATAACATGGGTGGGCAACTCCAGGCCTCGAGGGCCGGTGTCCTGCGAGTTTTAGCTGTGTCCTTGATCCAACACAGCTGATTCAAACAGCTAAATGACATCCTCAACTAGGGATGGGTATCGAAACCCGGTTCTTGTTGAAAACCGGTTCCCACTGTTTCAATTCCTTGGAATCGTTTGCCATTTTTGCAAACGATTCCCTTATCGAGTCCAGTCGCCCCGAATGACGTCACCACGTTGCGGAGCGTCATTTACCTGGCAGGAAACACGGCGCCAGCGGCTCAAATGCTCAAAAGCTTGGTTATACTTTACGAGAACAGATGACAACAGGGCAACTTGCAATACTTGCAAAGTAGATATTTCATTTAAGGGAGGAAACACTACGAATATGCAAAAGCATTTGCTCACAAAACACGCGATAACCTTAAATGAATGTCGTGTTTTTAATTCCGCTCCGGACTCGTGAATCTCAACCCAGCAGCAGCGGTAACGTTTGCACGTCCTCTCCCGTTAATGCGGCAGGTAAATAATCAACTAACAGTGCATATTATGTTAGCGCGATCTGCCTTATTGCAAAACCTGCCATTACTGTGCATTTAGGTGACCGTGATGAGAGAGACAGAGTCTGGCTCAGATGCTGGCACTTCTCACTGCAGTCTACTGGTAGCGTCTCCTTTCAGGCCAGGATAGACGAATGTCACCGAGCAGTGACTGAGTTTGTGGTCAAAGGCTTGAATCCATTTGCCACAGCAGATGCCCCCGATTTCACTTTGGTAAGTGAATGTGTTTAATTGTAGGCAGGACATTACTGGATATTCTTGTGTAATTGCTACAGAATAATTTATGTTATACTTTGTTATTGCTACAGGAGAATATTTATTTTATTATTTTACATTTACATTTTTTTTCCTGGGGCCCCTGTGACACCCCATTGAAGAGCCGTAGGCTGGATCTCTTAAGATCTCACTGTTGGGTTTGTAAGGCCATGTTACTCCTAAATTTCTATCTTGTTCAAAGAGAAGGTAAAAAACAAAGTTCTAAGCTAATCGACCTTAGTGTTCTCCTTTTAAAAATAAGAATCGATAAGAGAATCGATAAAGAATCGAATCGTTAAACAGAATCGAAAATGGAATCGGAATCATTAAAATCTTATCAATACCCATCCCTATCCTCAACATGTCTTGAAGTTCTCCAGAGGCCTGGTATTGAATTAATCATTTGATTCAGGTGTGCTGACCCAGGGTGAGATCTAAAACCTGCAGGACACCGGCCCTCGAGGCCTGGAGTTGCCCACCCCTAACGTATACTGTTAACAGAACTGGTCCTAGCACCGAGCTTTACAAAACAGGGATCCAACGCAAGAATTAAAACAATGTTGAAAAGTAGAAGCATTCAGAGAGTGCAAACCAAATGTACTTTAAGAAGTTTGTAGTGCAGTAAAAACAAGTGCAAAGTGCAGGCTTTATTAAAATGTGCCTTCTTAAAAACAAAGTAAATATACTTGACATCATTTTAAGTGCAATTATTTTCTATCATTTATGTGGATTATTACATGTATGACATTTATTGCAGTGTTTCGTAAATTGGTTTTGTTAAATTGTGACCAATAAATCATTAAGTTGACTTCGAAAACCTCGATGGATGTAAGCCAGATTTTAATGGACTGCTAACATGACCCCACTCTACACCCCTACAGTTTTATCACAAGATCATTCAAACCTTTTTAAGCTATGATGTTTACAGAATGATGACACATGGATGCAAACACTACCAAAAACATCCTTGTAAGTACCGTAATTACCCGTAGCATCATTTTTCTCCTAATAAATCTGTGCTAGGGCACTGAGCTGCATGTGCTCTTAGTTTTAAATGCTAGTTTCCAAAACTGGATTTATTTCAGGATATTCTGTCTTCCTGTCTTCCCCCACACTGCTGAAATGCACAGAGTGATGCTGATGATGTAATGTGGGCTTAAACTCCCTGAAAAAAAGGTTTCTGTCATGGTCCTGGGCCATGTGGGCCCAGTATTCTTAGTTTTCATGCATTTTTGTATTTTGTTCCTTATTTAGGCCATGTTTTCTGAGTTGCCCTGTTGTGTTGTTCCCTAAGTGTTTTCCCTTCATGGCTCTTCCCCCCTGTGTGCCCTCTATGTATTGATGAGCCCTCGTCTCCCCTTGTGGTTGTTTCATGTTTCCCCAGCCCGTTATGTCGGTGTTTTCCCCGTGCTCTCTCTCCTCCTGTCGGAACCTCTGCCTCTACATGTCATGTTCAGTTCACCCCGCCCTGTCTCGTTATGGTTATCTGTGTCACCTGTGTTCCCCGTGTGTTCCCACTTTCCTCGTTAACCCTCTGTGTATTTCTGTCTGCGTCTTCCTCTGTTCGGCGTCGCGTTCTCCCTCATGTTGTGTGGATCTCCCTGTGTCTCTCCGCGTATGTTAGTTTACTTTTCCCAGTTTAGTTTTGTATTTCCTATGTTCTGCCATTCCAGCATTAAAGCTGTGATTTTGAGTTCATCCCCGTGTCTGTGAGTTTTGCTATTGGGTCCTTCTCCTGCCTGCCACACAACGTATCATGACAGTTTCTTGATCAGCCAGTTGGGGATGTTTCAATCATTTTTTGGTCCCAGTCGTGGCCTGAATCCTTTCAAGTAGCTCTACCCTGCTCGTCTCTGCAAGCGAACCAGACTTTAAGTGTGAACAACACACAAACACAACTCACCATTATTAATGTGCTTAGCACTACTATTGCTGAAATTGGCATTTCATTGTTTTTTTAATTTATGGTGGATAAATGTGGTTTGAATCTTTGTTTAATTATTTTTATTTCTTTGTGTTATCTTTCAGATGTCACTGAGGTGAGAAGGATAAGGAGGCACATAAAGCAATCCCATAGAGTTTATGGGGTGGTTATTATACAAGATGATCTTGAGGGTCAGCCTTTTAACATCATTTAACATTCATTTTAGCACTGATACATTCATAGATTTGCTCATATAGCAATCCTCCAACAATTGCTGTATTTTATCTCTCATTCATGGCCAGAGAAAACGTACATGAAAACAACATGAAACCCGCAAGGCAGAAAACAATGTTATCTGGGGGTTATTTTGGTTCCTATACATGCATGTTGTGTATTCTGCAGGAGGTGGATGTGTGTTTAAAAGCATACAAACTGCTGACTGCCTCTGACGGCTCTAAATCTGACAGATAAATGGATGAATGTCTAAAATCAGAACAGGCCGCAAATCCTGACGCTGGTAAAGAGGGCTCAGTCCTCAATCTGGGCATTATCATGATCCCTGGGTGTGTTTGTCCTGGCAAACAAGCATAAGTGTGCACACAGACTCACACACACACACAATGATAGGCACACTCACCAACATACACGAATGCACATCCGAACTCTTCCAATTGCTCTTTGTTTCCAGTTCAAACAGTCAGAAGCCTCAGGACCAGTTTGAGGGTAAGAAACTCACATCTAAAGTAGACTTTGGCCATGTTTTAATTATTAAAAGAAAATTCAACCCAAATGAATACAACACCAGAAAAGACAAATACAAACCTCAATGGTTTATGAGACTTCTTTGTAGAACCTACAGAGAGTGAACGCTCCAGAAGTATGAAAGGCTGAAATAGAACCTCTCAGTTTTGGACACGTTGGCCAAACCATTGCTCAGTCAGTATTTATGCTTTCTTGCAGCCTTGTGCAAATGTTTGGTAAAAGTCTGAGGCTTGTCGAAATGACAAATCCTAGAACATTTTTTTAGGACGACTTTTGAATTTGAAATTTGCTTTTACCAGTTCTGGCTTCATTTACCTTCTGCAGCAGCAGAGATCCAGAGTATTTGGCTGCACACTCTCGAAGTTCTGCAGAGAATCTCAACGCCCACTGCTGCACCCTGCAAGACAGAAAGACAACAGACAATATCAAGGACTCACATTACAGACTGTTAGAAAACCACAAGAAGAGACGCAAACAAAAGATAAGGAAACAAAACAAAATAAAACAAACAAGCAAAAAGAAAAGAAAAGAAAATCTCACCACTAGATATCAGTAGATTGCAGTTAAATGAACTTCATGTATTATCCTAACTAAGATGGCTGCTGTAAAACAAACAGCTCTGGCTGTAAAGTGAGTGTTGGCTCTTAGGCTGTTGTTTACCTCAGCTGTCAATGTGTCCATGTCTATTTGGACTGTAAAACATTGTGAAACGAGTTTAATACAAGCCAATGACTCCGAGAAGCTCATCAAGTTCTGCTGTTTTTGCTATTAGCCACTGTTACATCCACTTCAAAGAAAGTTTCACCAACGTTGTTGGACTCTGAAACTTTCATACAATGTGAGAATGTAATCAAACTGTTTATCAAGGGAAAGCGTGAATTTTAGAACAATTAAGCCAAGCATTAGCTGAAAACAAGAACACTGCAGGCAACAAGGACACGGACCAGCCGGCTCATTATCGGTATTCAGCTCAGTCCGCCTCTCTGATGGTACGGAGGTGCGTCAGTGTCTGGAACTGGCAGCTCGAAAATCTGGAAAGGTGAAATCAATGCTGACAGAAATATACACTTTTTTACAGATGATGTCTTTGTCAGAGGTGCCTTGTATATTTCAGAAAGATAATCTTATACCGCATACTTCATCTACTCGAACAGCATGGCTTCATAGTAGAAGAGTTTGGTTGCTGAACTTTCCTGCCTGCAGTGTGTGAGAACATTTGGAGCACCAAGAAAGCAAAAATAGAACAAAGACAAGCCAGGGCTGCTGAGAGCTAGGATCCTCTATCAGACAAGAATGGGAAAACTGTCCTCTCCCAGAAGTAGAGTTAAAAGTAGAGTGGATACTACACAGTGGGAAACATGGCCCTATTCCAACTTTTTGAGACGTGTGGCTGCATTAAAATTAGGGAGAAGATCCTCTAGGACACCATCCATCATCTCATTACGAGCACGGCCCGGGTCAGGCATGCATACAAGCATGCAGGCCGTAGAAACTACTGAAACAATGTGACATCCTTTTATTCCCAACACATCATGCAGTCCATATCTGTATCGATATGCAGCATGATTTTTTTTCCAGTGTTCTCTCAATTTGTCGGAGCAGTGTGTATATAGTGTCATGCCACATATTATTTTGTGTTAAGTTTCACTCTGTGTACTTACCGATTTGAATATATGAGGTTTATCAGTTTTTATTCCTTTATAATATGATTCATCCTGCTTGGTTTCCTGATTCTTGTGGATCGCGTTTGACCACCTGGGTTGGCTGGCCTGATTTGTAGCACCTGTCTGAGCTGCTATCGATGCCAGCTGGGTTTGAATAACGCAGTGTGCTGGACCTTTTGATCTCCATCTGTTACATACACGCTGTCCTCTAACTTCTTTGATTAAACATTAAAATATTAGTTGAGGAAAGCATCGCAGCGAAACGGTCATGAAAGAAGCCCATGTTTAAAATTTGCTGTTAGCCACTGCATGCTAAAAATCATTGGTGCACTCAGACAAACTGGACTCATACTGAGCTTGGAGCACTTCTCATCAATGGTCTATGTAGCAGAAAGGCAGGGACCCTTTGTTTATGCTATACCACCACTTTACCTCAGGATGAAAAGTTCTGTTGTTACGTTCTTGCGCTGTCAGGTGTTTAGCGTAAGCTTGACCGTGTGTTTCCATGACAACGCTTGGCTCAGCAGCGGTGCATTACAGCAGAAAAAGGCCCTTAAATATGACAGTGATGAAAGAGATTTAGATAATCTGCTCCTCATCTGGGTCACAGCAGAGAGCTGCAGGGGTCCACTCAGCACAGACCCACAGCATTGCAACAAAGCTGCAAGTTAAAGTTTTGGTTTGTGTCGCAAAACGGACAATTAAATAATGTTTCTATCATATGATATAGAAATATAATATAATAAAATATGTACAGAGGAGGTCAGGAGAGATGTAGAAGAGTGAAGTACTATAACCATCTGTGAAAACCAGTGAAAGCTTTGTCATGGTTTCTGCATTTCAGCCATGTCTCAAAGCTGATGATCACTGATTGTGAACTAAGGCCATGCACACAGGCTGGTTAAAGCTCCATCATGTCATAGATGCACATGATCCAGAAACACTGCCTACACAGTTTGTTTCAGACACAGGATGACCTGAAGGCCCATTTTGAACTATGAATTATTCAAAGTTACCCCTGGAATTGGAAAGCAAAAACATCAATCTGGAGATGAGGAGAACAACGTTCACTTTAACCATTCTGAGGGAAAACATCATCAGAATATTCCAGGTCCAGGTGATGAATAATTACACATAATGAGGACAGTGTGAAGTGCCTCAGTCACAGCACTTCACACAGACAGACAGAGGAGAGAGAGAGTTTACCCAGCATGTGTTGAAAAGGAGGGTAACGCTCCATCTGTTCTGGACATTAATCCTCTAAGTTCAGTGCAGACACACACACACACAGTAAATACACTGTGGGCTTGTAACAGGTTTGACAATAACCCATGTAAGACACACTGCTCTGCTACAGATGTAACTAATTACTGTTCATTTAAATTCTGGGTGCTAGATTCCTTTGATGAATCATTTAAACTATGAAATGCTATGTACCATCATGCACACGTCTTATTACACTGAACAAAAATATAAACGCAACACCTTTGTTACTGCTCCCATTCCCCATGGGATGGACGTAGAGACCTAAAATTCATTCCAGATACACAATATAACCATCCCTCCCAAACAGTGGTCACAAATCAGTCCAAATGTGTGGTAGTGGGCACATCTGCTATATTGAGATAATCCATCCCACCTCACAGGTGTGCCACATCAGGATGCTGATCTGACATCATGAGTAGTGCACAGGTGTACCTCAGACTGCCCACAACAAAAGGCCACCCTGGAATGTGCAGTTTTTTGCGCTATTGGGGGTCTGGGGACCCAGAACCGGTCAGTATCTGGTGTGACCACCATTTGCCTCATGCAGTGCAACACATCGTCGCATGGAGTCTATCAGATTGTCAATTGTGGCCTGTGGAATGTTGGTCCACTCCACTTCAATGGCTGTGCGAGGTTGTTGGATATTCGTGGGAACTGGTACACGCTGTCGTATACGCCGGTCAAGCACATCCCGAACATGCTCAATGGGTGACATGTCCGGTGAGTATGCTGGCCATGCAAGAACTGGGACATTCTCAGCTGCCATCTGCCCTGAACAATGTGAACCATGATTCATCCGTGAAGCGCACACCTCTCCAACGTGCCAGACGCCATCGAATGTGAGCATTTGCCCACACAAGTCTGTTACGGCGACGAGCTGGAGTCAGGTCAAGACCCCGATGAGGACGACGGGCATGCAGTTGAGCGTCCCTGAGACGGTTTCTGACAGTTTGTGCAGAAATTGTTTGGTTGTGCAAACCAATTGTTCCAGCAGCTGTCTGGGTGGCTGGTCTCAGACGATCTTGGAGGTGAACCTGCTGGATGTGGAGGTCCTGGGCTGGTGTGGTTACACGAGGTCTGCGGTTGTGAGGCCGGTTGGATGTGCTGCCATATTCTCTGAAACGCCTGTGGAGACGGCTTATGGTTGAGAAATGAACATTCAATGCACGGGCGACAGATCTGGTTGACATTCCTGCTGTCAGCATGCCAATTGCACGCTCCCTCATTGCTTGTGGCATCTGTGGCATTTTGCTGTGAGACAAAACTGCACATTCCAGGGTGGCCTTTTGTTGTGGGCAGTCTGAGGTACACCTGTGCACTACTCATGATGTCAGATCAGCATCCTGATGTGGCACACCTGTGAGGTGGGATGGATTATCTCAATATAGCAGATGTGCCCACTACCACACATTTGGACTGATTTGTGACCACTGTTTGGGAGGGATGGTTATATTGTGTATCTGGAATGAATTTTAGGTCTCTACGTCCATCCCATGGGGAATGGGAGCAAAAACAAAAGTGTTGCGTTTATATTTTTGTTCAGTGTATATATGAGCAACTCTCAGCGGCAAAGAGCTGCCAAAACTGTAGTTTGTTAAAACTCCCGATGCCATCAGTGATCATGTGATTTAAGTGCTCGATGCTTTGCCCTTTTTTCTTAGATTTTTATCTGTTTTTTCTTTAATCCCGGAACTCTTGACAGTATAAAATTTTAAAAATAACAATAATTTTGTTTGAATCATGTTTACCCGTGTAAGGAACTCTTCTCTCCATTTTCTCTTTACTCTTTTACACATCAAAAATGGCAGATTTTGACCACCATGAATAGAATAGAAATTTGACCCCGGAACATGTTATCAGTAGGCTGGCTGGATAACATCTTATAGTTACGTATTTTAAAATGTAATAGTCAGCAGAACAACCCAAATAATTCAATCTGAGCTCAGAGAGATGATGAACACTGCTGGAAGACTGAGCTGGAGTCATGGTAGGCACTGGTTTGCTTGTGTTTCTGTCTCGCTCCTGTTTTCTTTCTCAGGCCTTGGCTGGGTTGGGCAGGTGGAGCTCTACCTTTGGGTGGAGTTGCCACCATCTCCTGCACACCAGCAGGAGATGGTGGCACACCTGTTGCTTATTTTCCTGTCTCCAAGTATTTAAGAACCAGCTCACACATCCAGTCTTTGCCCAATTGTCTTTTTTTCAGTGTGGTATTCAAACCCTTCCTTGTGACCTTCCCTGGGTGTTTGGCACCCTCCTGGACCTTACCAACAACCCTCACGTGTAAGCCTGCACCTTCAGTCCTTACTTCTCCCGAACCCAGCCTTCTGGATCTAATACTGCTCTCCTCTCTCCCAGTGAACCTTCGTCTAACTGCATCTCCGGAAACTCAGGAATTCCGCTTTTGCCAGTGTCCTCTATCCTAGAGAAATTCCCCCATGGAAGTTATTCTGTGTTTTAAAATCAGTGCTTCTTGTAAACAATAAAGGTCTTGAGTTTGATCAGTTCAGCCTCTTTCTGGTTGTGCATTAGAGTCCACTATGCCTTTGGTGTTCATGCCTTGATAAGCGTCTGCCTTTAGTTTTCCAAACTATTTAACTTAAAGCAGCAATCCTTGATGAATCTGTCTGTCCTTCAGCTCTCTGCAGATTTACGTTTTACTTTAGTTGCTGTATTTAATCCTTTATTTGCTGCCTTTGAAACACTTCAGTCGCTCATTCTGTCCTCCTTCAACACATGCTTGAATCTTCTGAGGTCTTTCCCTTTTCCTCCTGCCTGGCAGCTTTATCTACATGATCCTTTTTCCATCGTATCCACTATCCCTCCTCTGCACATATCCAAACCATCTCAGCTCCAACTCTTCAACTTTGTCTCTAACCTGAGCTGTCCCGCAGATATACTCATTTCTAAGCCTGTCCATCCAAGTGACTCCCAAGAAAAATCTTACCATTTCATCTCTGCCCCCTCTATCTCCACCTTCTGTGTTTTTGTCAGCACCCTTGTGTTCCAAATCATTTGACTGATATCATTGATCGAAACTATAAACTTCATTTAAGGCAGCACGGTGGCACGGTGGTTAGCACTGTTGCCGCACAGCAAGAAGGTCCTGAGTTCAATTCCAACATCAGGCCGGGGTCTTTCTGTGTGGAGTTTGCATGTTCTCCCCGTGTTTGCGTGGGTTCCCTCCGGGTACTTCCTCCCACTGTCCAAAGACATGCAGCTTGAGGGGATAGGTTAATTGATTAATCCAAATTGCCACTAGGTGTGAATGTGCAAATGAATGTGAGTGCGAATGGTTGTCTGTCCCTGTGTGTTGGCCCTGCGACGGACTGGCGACCTGTCCAGGGTGTACCCTGCCTCTCACCCTATGACAGCTGGGATAGGCTCCAGCGCCCCCCGCGACCCTGAAAAGGATAAGCGGAAGCGAATGGATGGATGGATAAACTTTATTTATTCAACACTCCTCCCAGAGCTTCGCACTGAACAGGTAGCAATGATTACTCTGACATTTTTCTACCTGTTATAACATAAAAATGTTTTCATTTTCGATACAAATTGTGCCAGGTCTGAAAAAATAAATAATAAATGAATCACCTACACTGCCTATAAACGTAAAATGTCACATGTCAAACATCTGGGAGATGTCAATAACAAAGAATGGGTAGTGCTCATTACATCCCTGTAAACTCATCTGCCCCGAGTTTCCTTGTTTTTCTGACACATTGTTTAAAACATCATAATTTTACTTACTAGCCTTTTCCAAAAAAATAAATAAATAAAAATGTAAAAATACATTAAAATAAGTACTGCCAGGCATGGGAGCCTTTAAACTCTAAATAAGAATGTTAAAGTGTATTTCATGTGTTCAGAGGTATGAATGGAAGCAACTGAGATACTGGGTTGGTATTCCTGCTACTGAAAGTCTGATTGTATGGGTCATGAACTCCAGGCAATGTTGGCAAAACCAGGTCGGTCCAAAAAAGAACTAGAAGCACGCTCTTCGGTTCAGGTCTGTCCACGCCATACCGCTGTGCAGTTACTGGACAGTTACTTGTTCTCGCCTGCGTCGATGTTGGGTAACGTGTAGAAATGTTCTGGGCTGCAGTCCACCTGTGAAAACAGCTTCCAGTATAAGTCTGAGGGGGCAGAGCCCTATAGAGCAATTTATTTTCTCACATTTAGAGTTCTAACAGTACCAGCTGATCACTTTATATTCACTGTTAGGTTTAACAGTCCTAAAATGCTGCAGCATATATGAAAGCAACGGTCTCCCATCCGTCTCCAATTCAATCTAAAAATGCTCCCAAAATAAATCCTCCATCAAGATCACCTCTGAAGTCTATTCAGCTAATCCCCTGTGCCGAGGGTGATCTGCCCAGCAGACTGACTGACAGAAAATACACAGCCATCATTTCATTTCACAACCAGGTCAAAGGTCAGCAGTCCAGACAGCGACCTGGAGCGATGTCAAAGTTTTTTTTTTAACTGCTTATCTAACTCATCGTGGTGATGTATGGCAAAAAAATCGGGTTAATGTACTGTCTAATACAGCCGATAAGACAGCTTTATGATTAAGCCTGGAGACAAGCTACAGTTAACTGTACACTATGCAGCACTTGCATTAAATACTTGTTTTATTGCTTTATATTAAGTGTTTATAACACAACCAAAAGAATAAGACTTTCCTCTAGTTTCTTGGCTGCTTCTAACAGCCTGTAGACTGTGTGCAGGTTGGGTTCAAGGCACAAGACTTTTATACTCGCTCCTGCCTCTGTGAACCTCATCTGCCATCTTATAGAATCACAGTTAGCAATACTAGCTCATATCAGCCAACAGACACCATTAATCACCAACATCAACAAACGAGCCGCTCCCACATATGAAACACAAACTTTACAAAAGGGGCAAAAAAACAATCAGTTTAATCTAGTGAAGCACTTTTGGTCAAGTGGTAATGTGACCAGTAATGAGGCAGAACTGGTCACTACATCAGCACAGCATCTTCCTACTTTGATCCATGCATGGGTGTATGAGCAAGCAACCAAGCAGCAGCAGGCTGGTAAAAGGTGACAACTACAACTATCTGGATGAAAAACAAAACATTCAATAGATCGATACTTTACATGCAAAATAAAATAAAATATTATTATTGTGTGTGAAATACATGCCTGATCTTCTACATCAGAACTGCCAGTGAAAGTGAACTCTGCAGCTTCTTATTTCATTTTGTTGATGCTGCCATCTGTGACGGCCTGCTTGAAAGTCTGACAGTATCCCGTTACCTCAGTTATTGCTCACTGAGTGTCACTGGTACAAAGTCCTGCCTCTTTAGCTCTGCATGTCACAGCGGCTGAGGTGGATTTGCATGGGTTTAGGTGCATTTGTAGCCAGGTGACGTGGCCCTGTTTGTCCAGGCCTATGGCGGTTTGGTGGAGAATGTGGGTCAGGCTTGGAAAGGTGACCGTGGCCAGCGAGCCATGCTGGCCCACAGATGGTGATGCAGAGGGAGCGTGTGAGGAAGCTGTAGCCGTGCAGGACTGCAGCTGCAGGGAGCTGCTGCTCTCTAACTGCCTCACAGATTCATGATAATGAGCTTCAACGGCAGCAAAACAGACAACACAAAACCACAAACATGTTGGGTAGATAAACACACTGCAAGAGCTTTGCATGTCACAAACAGTACATAAGAGACAAGCAAAGTTGCTACAATTTTAATGAGCTTGAAAATCAATATTTGGTACGACCAGCTTTATTCTTCAACAGCCTGAACTCTCTTAGGCAGCTTTCTTATATATTTCCTTAAGTAGTCTTCAGGAATTGTTCTCTGAAGGGTGTTCAAAGCTCTTTGGATGTTGGCTGCCTATTTTCAGGCTCTCTTGAGGTCCAGACCCTGCGGAGGCCAATCCATGGCTTAAAGTGTGTTTTTCTATCCAGGTGTTTTTATTGCGCTGGCAGTGTTTGGAATAATTGTCATAATAAAAAAATGAAGCCACTGTCAATCAGACACTTTCCAGATTGTGTTGGTCGATCAAAATCTGTGTTCTCCATAAATTCTGGAAAGATCTCAGACACCACTGACTGAAACGCGGCCCCAAACCAAACAAAGCCTCCAGCATGTTTTACAGATGTAGACAATCAGTCTTGCAGTTCTCTCCTGACCTCCTCTGCACATATTAACAATAATTTAAACCAGAAAGTCAAAATCAGAAAAAAAATCAGGGGATAAAAGTCTACCATAGTGGAGATTATTCGTATGATGAAAAATGTACTGGAAACCCTCGATTCATCCATATTGTCCTGCTCACCTGGGTTGCAGGATCAACAATCAATGCAGAAATTCCCAAACCTTTTCAAGCTGCTGAAAAGTCAGTTGAAAGGCAGAGTCCTGGTTCTGCCCTGGATATGTCTGAAACTTCTCACCTAGGACCCACCCAATTAGCATCCTAGTCAGATGTCTGAACCTTCTCCAATCACTTCTTCCAAAGTAGTTCTATTATGAGCTCCTCAACCTCTCTCCAAGAGTGAGACCAGGCATTTTCCAAAGAAGGTTATTTCCGCTCCTTGCTCATTTTTCCAGTTGCCTCCCACAGGTCCCACACACAGAGGAGAGCAGGGACATGTAGTCAAAAATGTGCAATGCAATGTATTTCTTATTTTAACAAAAGAAAAACTTTATAAACCACACAAAAAACCTAAACAGCTTAGAACCTAATAGCAAAGTAACTGTTTTTTTGGCCAAACTGGATGCTGTACTCCAGTTCGTGTGACCCATGTTGAACAGCTGAGTTAAAATAAGCTTTTGGGTTTCCTAAATCTGAGTTTTTAGAAGTGTTACATCACTTTTAACTGTCACACCTGCAAAAATCAAAGACAGTGGAGAGCAAATTTCAGGGAGTCCTGAGGGAAAACAGCCTGCTGAAACACAGTTATTCTCTCGGGACCTCCATAAAAGCGCAGTGCACTCTGGGAGTTGACTATCAGAAGCTGGAATAAGCCCATTCAGGACTATTTTCTACAAGCTACACGCTTACTATATTCTATATGCGTTCATATTAACATGTCAGTCATGTTACCATAACTGCGAATGACATTCAACTTTCCCATCCATAGGTTTCTAACGATATCTACAGTCTTACAATAATGCAGGCCTTTAAAAAAACATTTTTAACCCTCTGCAGAGGTTATGAGACGTAAACATTGTGCACTTACGTCTCAGGTGGGATCTTCATCTGAGCCTCAGCTGTGATCAAAAGGCAAAAAATTCCCATTAGCCTCAAGAGGGTCCTCATTCCCAAAACATTAATGCTGTCCATCCTGTATCCCTGAAGTCCGGACATGGAGCTCCTTTAAAGAGACTTTAAAGGAAGATTCTCAAACTGGGAGAAGCTCTGAATGTTCAAGAAGATGATAAAGAGTTTGTAGGAAACGGTTTCCTCATGTTGGCTAAAGACAGGAAACGGTGACATTTATAGTTACAGACTTTTGACCCTGAACTCTTTCCATCACGTCTGAATAAACTGGTCCTGCTGCCAGCATCTTCTCTGTTTGCTTCAGCCTCTCATCTTCATCAGAGCAACTTCTAAAAGATCCAGAGAAACTCAAAGTCATTGCACACCCAGACAAAGAGTTAAAAATCCATCCTACTGTCCACAGGAAAGACTACTGTAGCAAGTTCCTCCAGGTTACTCCTTATGGAACCAGGAACAGTGAGTGGGTTCATTTCACCACCTTGCAGATATTAAAGAAAACATAAAGCTGGTTGTCTGCAGTAGACACTGCAGCCACTTGCCTTCCCTGTCGCCCAATTTGTGGTGTAATCCACTTGGATTAAAAACTCCTCTTCCTCGTGGAAGAGAGTGTCACAGAGAGAGAGAGAGAGAGAGAGAGAGAGAGAGAGAGAGAGAGAGAGAGAGAGAGAGAGAGAGAGAGAGAGAGAGAGAGAGAGAGAGAGATGAGTGGGGAGGGATTGGAGCAGGGGATTGGATGCAGGCTCTGTTTTATCAGAGAGGATTAGAGCAATTTCTGGAGACAGACTCCCCAGCAACCAATCGCAGCTGCTGTAGAGAGAGAAAAAGAAGAAAAAAAAAGCACAGGCTCAGTTTGGCTGCTCAAAGAGAGAAAGGGAGAGAGAGAGCAGCTAACAAGACATAATGCCCCAACACACACACACTCAGATAATCAGCTGACTGACAAAAAACCCCACACTCAAGCATTCACATAAATTACATTTTATTGACACTCTTTAAAGTCATGAAGCTAAACCAGACACACACAAAGAGACACACAGTCCAAGGTTTCACTCTACTATCTGATCCAGATCCACCAAGACTTTAAACCTTCAGTAAGCTGATAAAAACCCACTTAGAGGTAAAGCTGCTGACCAATTACGGCTCACCATTATCTCACCATCGTCATCCCAACCCATCAACAACATTATCTCCACAACTGGAAAAGACAAAAAGAGGTGCAAATGTTACACTGAAAACAGGGGGGAAAGAATCACGAGAGTGATTATGACTTGCGTCTCTCATGCAGTCGTTTATTGCAGTGAGGAGAACTCGCAAAAGCTCCCTAGTAGGGATGGGTATCGAAAACCGGTTCTTGTTGAGAACCGGTTCCCACTGTTTCTGTTCCTTGGAATTGTTTGCCATTTTTGCAAACGATTCCCTTATCGATTCCAGTCGCCCCGAATGACGTCACCACGTTGCGGAGCGTCATTTACCTGGCAGGAAACACGGCGCCTAAGCGGCTCAAACGCTCAAAAGTTTGATTATACTTTATGAGAACGGATGACAACAGGGCAACTTGCAAAGTAGATATTTCATTTAAGGGAGGAAACACTACGAATATGCAAAAGCATTTGCTCACAAAACACGCGATAACCGTAAATGAATGTCGTGTTTTTAATTCGCTCCTGACTCGTGAATCTCAGCCCAGCAGCAGCGGTAACGTTTGCACGTCCTCTCCCGTTAATGCGGCAGATAAATAATCAGCAACAGTGCATATTATGTTAGCGCGATCTGCCTTATTACTAAACCTGCCATTACTGTGCATTTAGGTGACCGTGATGAGAGAGACAGAGTCTGGCTCAGATGCTGGCAGTTCTCGCTGCAGTCTACCGGTAGCGTCTCCTTTCAGGCCAGGATAGACGAATGTCACCGAGCAGTGATTCAGTTTGTGGTAGAAGGCTTGCACCCATTTGCCACAGCAGATGCCCCCGATTTTCGCTAAGTGAATGTGTTTAATTGTAGGCAGGGACATTACTGGATATTCTTGTGTAATTGCCACAGAACAATTTATGTTATACTTTGTTATTGCTACAAAAGAATATTTATTTTATTATTTTACATTTACAATTTTTTTCCTGGGGACCCTGTGACACCCCATTGAAGAGCCATAGGTTGGATCTCTTAAGATCTCACTGTTGGGTTTGTAAGGCCATGTTACTCCTAAATTTCTATCTTGTTCAAAGAGAAGATATAAAACAAAGTTCTAAGCTAATCGACCTTAGTGTTCTCCTTCTTAAAAAAAAAACAATCGATAAAGAATCGAATCATTAAAAAGAATCGAAAATGGAATCGTGAAAATCTTATCAATACCCATCCCTACTCCCTAGCGGAGAATAGAGACGCTACTAATCGATCCCAGAAAAGGCTTACTAGCCGACCAGTGATGTATAGATTGCAGTTCTCTTAAATAACATGAAATCCATTAATATAACATGAAAAATAATAACCTCTTAACCATTTTCTTACCATATTTACATTATTTTTGTCCTTATATCAACTGATATAAATTAGTATTAACTGAACCCTTTTATATTCAGTAATCCTTCAACCTGTCACACTCTCCCCCACTCAAAAAATGTGGTGTGGTGACGCTGAGCTGAGTCGTTTTTGCAGCCCCTGATGATCTCTGGCTGGCCTCAGGAAACATGCGCTAAAACACAGCTACCAGTTCGCCTCAATAGCAACACCTTCCTCACTGCAGTTTGCCTGGGTTGTATGGGGGGATTTGGCTGGCTTGGACTACGATGTGCAGATTGTGGACACCAGACATCTAAGCAGCTATCCCAGTGGTGCCTCCAAATGTTACACCCCTGAAAACAGGGGGAAAAGAATCATGAGAGTGATTATGACTGCGTCTCTCATGCAGTCGTTTATTGCAGTGAAAATGAACAGAAATGTTTCACATTTTGTACTGCTTAATGTCACATGGTGGAAGGAAAAGCTAAATAATAAACCAAAATAATAAAGTGCTTACTATACATATACCTGAACAGGTTTTCCAACAAAATGGCTGACAGTAGTGGTGTTTTTAGCTCCTGACGTTAACCAGGCGAGAAATTTGGGTGTAGTGATGGATGCAGACCTAAACCAAAAACACATTAGGACAATAACAAAATCAGCTTATATTCACCTCAAGAATATTTCAAGGATAAAAGATCTGATGTCTCAACGGGACCTGGAAAAACTAGTCCATGCATTCATCTTTAGCAGGCTTGATTACTGTAACAGCATCTTTACAGGTCTACCTAAAAAAATCAGTCAGACAACTACAGCTCATTCAGAACTCTGCTGCTCGAGTCCTCACTAAGACCAAAAAAGTGGACCACATCAGTCCAGCTCTGAGGTCCTTACACTGGCTGCCTGTCCGTCAGAGGATAGACTTTAAAGTTCTGATGCTGGCCTATAAAGCTCTGAATGGTTTAGGACCAAAATACATCAGTGACCTCCTGACCCAGTATGAACCTTCCAGATCCCTCAGGTCATCTGGATCCGGTCTTTTATCAGTTCCCAGAGTCAGAACCAGACACGGAGAAGCTGCATTCAGCTTTTATGCTCCTTATATCTGGAACAAACTCCCAGAAAGCCTCAGATCAGCTGAAACACTCAGTTTATTTAAATCCAGGTTGAAGACTCACTTGTTCTCAGCTGCATTTGAATAAAACACCAAATCCACACTTTTAAGCTTAAATTTCAAAACTTACATTTTAACTACTGATTTTATCTACTGTTCTGATTTTATCTGTTTTGATTTTATCTACTGTTTTTTTTAATCAATTTTAAATCATGCTTTTTATTTGTTTTTTAATGTCTCTGTAAAGCACTTTGAATCACCTTGTTGTTGAATTGTGCTATATAAATAAACTTGCCTTGCCTTATCTTAATGGCCATTACACAGTATAAAACTCAGGCTCAAAACTGCCACGTCTATGTGCACAAAACTGTAATATAATGCTTCTAAAGCTTACAAAACAATGAAGGGTTACCTCTTAAATACCTTAACACAATACAAATTGAAAATGTATCAACTTTTAATCGCTTCTACCTTAAAACGGGGAAAAGAATCACAAGAGTGATTACGACTTGCGTCTCTCGTGCAGTCGTTTATTGCAGTGAGGAGAACGCGCGAAAGCCCCCTAGTGGAGAATAGAGACGCTACTAATCGATCCCAGAAAAGGCTTACTAGCCGATCAGTGATGTATAGAGTACAGTTCTCTTAAATAACATGAAAGCAATTAATATAACGTGAAAAATAATAACCTCTTAACCATTTTCTTACCATATTTACATTATTTTTGTCCTTATATCAACTGATATGAATTAGTATTAACTGAACCCTTTTATATTCAGTAATCCTTCAACCTATCACACAAAATTCTTAGAAAGCTGATCTGTTGTACACATTGTGTTCTCTCCTTCCTCCCACAGTCCAAAGACTCTTTGTGTTAACCCTGCGATAGACTGGTGACCTGTCCAGAATGTGCCCTGCCGCTCACACTATGACAGCTGGGGTAGGCTGAATTCGACTAGCGGAAGAAATTGAATGGACGGAGGGATGGATATGTGCAATGCTATGCTATGTGTAAGCTCCACCACCCTGAACAATGTAAATGAATAAAGAGCGCTAAAGACCTGATGAAAAACATGTTAGTTTGATTTTAGGGCAACAGTCAGACACCAGCTCCAGACGGTTTCCATGTAAGATTTGTTATTTTCAAGTGAAGCTCATTTAGTTAGGCTTTCTCAAGAAACTCTTCAGCCTGAACCTCATTTTTTTAAAACACAGACTACATCAAAGACCCTTAATGCTTAAGGATATTTAAACTAAAATATTAACTATGTTACACACACACTGTTAAACACTGCTAAACAATTTTAAGAATAAAACTCCTGACTCATTTTGTGCCCCTGCCTATGAAAGGTGACATGAAGTAAAAATAACTTTTGGGGGAGGCAAAAAATATCACATCATGTTGGCTCTCTAAATAGCTTGTCTGCCTCGTATCAATCTGAAATTTGAGTCAGTCTGAAGTCGCAGTTCATCTTGCTGCACACTTCTGTCCCCTCCTGACTTTCACATTAAGAGTCCTGCAACTTGTTTTTACTTCCATTCTGGGCGAGTGTCTCCACTTCAAAAGTTTTATACTCCTGACAACATTGAGACGTCATCTCGGTTCATCTAAAAACCCCTCAGGAGCAAAATTGTCAGGTGCTCAGGTGGAGAAATCAAAGTGAACTGTAAGTGCAGGTCTGTTGGCAGCAGTTTGGTGGTTTCACAGTTTCCAGACGCCCATTAATTATTGATCAGAGTCACAAGAATAACCACAGAGTGATCAATAGATCAGAGTGTCAGAGAAGAGCTAAACCTTCACTGCTGTGACCGCATCACATCCACTCTGTGTTGAGGGCGACTGTGGTTCAGGTGGTTGGGAAGCTCATCTGTAACCGCAAGGTTGCCGGTTCGATCCCCCAGCTCTCTCTGTCCTGGTCATTGTGTCCTTGGGCAAG